CCCCAAAACCCCAAAACCCCAAAACCCCAAAACCCCAATATTAGGATTTATCCCTGAAAAGTGTTGATATTAAATCTGGGAGAATTATTGGTTACATAAACAGCTCCTTTCCTTAATTTTGGGTAACCCATCTTCCATTCATGAAGTCAAAGAGATGACTAGCAATTAGCCAGACGTCAGTGTAGTCAACCCATTTCATGCATTTTCTTGTATCAGAGTATACAGAGTTGGATGTCTGGCAAGAGCGTTGTCTTCTGCATTTAGCATTACATGAAGGAGGAGGATTATATCCAGGAGCTGAAGAATAGAAGTTTTGAATATACTTCCTAGCAGATTCTTCATCGTTCATGAATCCTTCAGTCACCTTTAAGAAGGATGCTGGACTTAGATCTTCCATATTAAAATCTTCTGTGAGCTCATGATGATGGCTAAAAATTGCATTTGCGTCATCTTTATTAGCCTCGACAATATCCAGCATGTGGGTTTCTATTTTTAATGGGAGCTTTGTCTCAGCATCAAGAGTTATAACTCTGAAAGAGGGGTTAGTGTTTGTGAATGTGGTCATTGAAGAAGCCAAATGGTTAACACCAATAGGCTTGCGGTCTTCAACAGACCTAATTACTTCGAATTCTTCATTATGGGTGTGTCCAAACAGGTTAAGTCTAAGGATGTGTTGATATCTATCAAAAAGAACTCTCAGTCTAGAAGAAACTTCAGAAATGCAATCGCTAGTGCCTGGAGACATATGCCCTATGAAAATTCCAACTTCTCCATCCTTCTCCATTTGACTGAGGAGATTCTCAAGCCACTCAAATTGCTGTCCAGGATCATTAAATTCTCCAGCAAGCATAAAGTTAAATACATAACAATCATTAGAGTTATATCCAATAATTCTGGTCTTTCCCATTTTCCTTTTAAATTCATCAGTAGTGGATGGATGGTCATATGCCATCATCGAATAGAAAGATTGTTTTAAGTACTCTGCATTAGCCTCTTCAGTCATCCAATGCTTCCAAGCATTAGCCACAATTTGGATCACTGGGTCAACTTCAAGACTGAAATCCTGAATATTCATTGGATCAAATTCATGATTGCCGTGGATAGGGAAAATAGTAGTATTCTTGGAATGAGCATTAATCATATCTGTGATGATTACAGTCGCTTCAGTACTAATCTTCGGGTCTTTGTAAATACCATGGTCTGGATTATCTCCTGTCCATACAATAAAGTCTGGCTTTCCTGTTTGATTGAATGAATACTTAAGCTGCCCAACTACTTTAGGATTCGCATCACAATTATAGTCACCCCATTTTCCTGCCTTTTCACTTTCCTTAGTTGGAGGCTTAGAGTTTGGAGTGCAGCAAACAATTTCTCCACAATTATTATTGGAGCCTTCTGTATAATTAATATTCCAATGAAGGTCTGAGAAGTGATACATCAGAATAGTCTCTCTGTCATTTCCAGCTTCAATATCTTCATTAATCTCCTTGTATAAATTATTGATAAAGTTATTGTCCTTAATGAAGTCAGGTTTATCAGCTAAGATTCTCTTCTCATAATCCTGTTTTTCCAGAACGGTATATTTATTTCTCTTGTTATCACAGGCTGGAACTTGAACTTGACAGAAGTAATTTGGTTCAAATGTCTTTACTCTGAATCTTCTCATGAGTAAGCCAACATAAGCAGCTGAGACCTTAGTACACTGATCCTTTGAGAAGAGCAAGGTGCAACCGTAATATATTAAATTCTCAAAGAATCTTATCGAGTTCTCACTCAGCAGAGCATATGCCATACCTCCAAGAGTAGCCTTACAGATCCCACAAGTAACTGGCTCAATAACAGAATAAAGGATGTTACTTTTTGTTTCTACTTTATCGACTTCAGCTGCAAGAACTGAGACAAGAAACATAACGCAAATAATCGCGATTTTTGTTCTCGACGTCATCACTTTGTAATAATAACTTCTTCAAAAAATTATTTAATAACGGGGTTTTGGGGTTTTGGGGTTTTGGGGTTTTGGGG